CGCGTATATTCCACTGTAAATAGGCCATGATTGGCAATGATAAAAATGCCTGAAATCTGCAGGTAAGGGTTCCTACGGACTAGAGGGGTTAGAAAAGTCCACATGTGGAGGCAGCGGAAAACATTCAAGCAGCGAAGGTATGGTGCGCTGTGAAGAAAGGAGTTGCGCAGATGGAGGAGAGGAGAGAGAAGGAACAGAGGGTGGATCAGTGCCCATTGATGGTTTGGTCTCTGCAATATATTCAGAGATTGCTTCAAATGTTTCAGAATTCAGAGACGTCGTATGGGAGACAATATTGGAGATGGTAGGGATAGGATGAGTAAAGAGTGGAACTGTAATGGACTGTACCAAGGTAGGGGGGGCGAAAGGGTGGAGGGAACTGGAGAAGAAGCGTGGAAGGGGACAGAAGAGGCAGAAACCTGGGAGGTGGCAGAAGAGGAAGAAGCTTGGGAGGGAACAGGGGAGGAAGGTGAACCTCTACACTTGTAACAGACCCAGTGAGGGGAAGAACCAGGTACAGAGACAGGGAAGGTAAAATGAGGAGGTGGAAGAAGGGAAGGAGGGGTTAAAGGACCTTTTTTTGACTTCTGAGAAGTAGAGGGAAGATTGGGAGGAGTTGTCGTACGAGATCTCGTCGATACTGAGGCTTGTGAGGGAGAACATGAAGAAGCGAGAACAGACTGAGGCGTTGAAGTAGGGATGTCTGAGCCTAGGACAGCAAAAGAATTAGATACAGGAGTGACTATGGGAGAGGTAACCACAGAGGAGGCTGCAGAAGATTGGACCCCAATAATGGGGGGACGTTTTGAAACACGGGAATAAGAAACACGAGGTAGTCTCCCTTGGAGGCGGAGATGAGAAACTGCCATGGCATAAGGGAGACCTTCTGCCTCTTTGAGGTAATGGATTTCCCGCTCATTTAAGCAGACTTGGCAACGGCGAGAGTACGAAGGGTGAGCCTCATGACAATTAAGGCAAGAGGGAGGTCGACTGCAAGACATATTAGAGTGGTCATCGGCACCACAGACTGGACATTCGGCTATAGATCTGCAATATTTCGCTGGATGGCCAAATTGCCAGCAATTTCTACACTGTTGTGGTGTAGGGATCACCTTTCGAACTTGTAACCGATGTCCTGCTACATAAAGTGAGGATGGGAGCTCACGGCTGTCAAAAGTTAAACGAGCCACATTGCTAGGGTATCGTCTCCGCCCGCGGGCAGGAAGAACATAAGTGTCTACCTTGAAGATTGTGAGATCTTGGAGTTCCAGCTGTTCAAGAATGTCATTGCCACATGTCTGGAAATTTTGTTGAACTATGGTATGGGGTAGAATGACGGTACCACTACAAGAATTGAGGGAATGATGTTTTTCAATAGTGACAGGAACAGTATCGATATGGGAAAGAAGAGAAAGATCATGAGCTTGGGAAGCATTCTGTACAGTGATGATGCGCGTATCGCTCTTAAGAGCATGAAAAGAAATATCTTTACCAACATGGCATAGGAGTGCCTTGCCAATACTGTGGTCAGAATGTTAGGCAGTAGAGGAAGTCGGTCGTAAAGTGAAGAATTTAGTCCATTGTGCATTCTGAAACTGAGCGTGGAAAGGGAGTGCAGGATGTGTCGATCTTTTCTGAGAAGAACGAGAAGGTGGAGAAATATCATTAGCAGGTAATTGTCGTTGACATTTAGGCGTGGGACCAGAGTTGGTCCGACGTGGAACGGGCCAGCGATTCGAAAATTGCCGCACCATAGAGGGAGAGGCCGGAAGCATAGTCAAAGGAGAGCGGAGGTCAGATAAATTGAAGGAGTCAGTCGAGACCTCAGTACCTGAAGCGAGTGAGGAAACAGCACCGACAAGATGTACAGAGGCATGAGGAGTGTCCGAAGAGTGGTCCAAAGACGAGGCGGTGTCAGAACGGGTTGTGGTATCAAGAAGGGGCCCAGGGGTAGCAGGTTCATGGACTAGGGCTGCCATGGTTAGGTTACTTCTTTCTTTTTGTTTTTAAGAAAAAAAAAGAAAAAAAAAAAGAAAAAAAAAATAAGAAAAAGGGGGGACCGGGGAGGGATAGTTCCTAGGAGGAATGAAAGGACCAGAAATCTCCCTCCGTGCCCAAGAGGACCTCAGCACCGCAAGTAGTGCAGACGCAGCATGGAACCCGTGCCGTACCCTACCCATCATGCCAGTAAACCAGCCATCCGGGATAGCAACCTCACATCTGCCGAGCTACCTCGGTGGACAAGAGAGGGTGGCCGGATATCCACCACAAAGCATACCTCCTTCGGCCACCACCCCCGGAATCCGAAAGGTGGCTTCCAGAGATACTCCCGTCGCCCCAGAGACACCCAAAGCCACCCTCCGGGATACCGGAGAGGGATCGGGACATCCCCAGGCAATCCAGATTCCACAGCAACCTACGCCACCGCCAAGAACCTCAATGGAATGGGATGGACCCTGGTACCCTTTCCCCTACCTAGGAACTAGCACCCCTGTGGGAAAAAATCCCAAAGGCCAAAAGGAAGAGAAAAAGGGAGGGGTGAGGAGGAGGAGGAGGAAAGGAAAAAAAGGGATGATGGGGAGGATGGGATAGGGAAGGGGGGATTGGGGGTAATTAGGTTCGGTCTGAGGAAGGAGACCGACAGGTCTAATTCCTCAGACCAAGAGCCTCTTCACCACAACAAGGAGCCCCCCTTGAAGAGGTAGAGAAGTGTAGGACCTTGTATCCTATATTATATTCAATTGATTACTTTAATTTACTTTGATATTATACACCTAGACAACTTTATTGTTATTAATAAACTTATTAAATTTTAATTTCTTTAGTTGGTAGCCTACCAGTTGTAATTCTGAAGCACTATTAAATCTTACTAAATTCTAATGGATAACTGGACCAGGATACTGACTACTTGTTACAAAAACCCAGTAACAGGCTGGATGCTAGAGTGGCAGTCCTTTCTAGTATTCACTGGAGATCTCTAACATTATTAGATATCACATTTTTTGTAACATGGCCCATTTTAGGAAAATCTTAAAGGAAGCGAGGTACAGAGCTCTATGGACAGATTTTTGGTGCGACAGAGGTCCAGTGACTCGAGTTGTTCCCAGTGGCATTAAAAATAGAAGAAGAGTAACCCCAGAAAAGGACTTGGTACCTAAAGTCCTCATGGAAGGGGATTCCCCTTCCAAACAATAATACACCTCCATCTCCCTCCTCACATCTCATCACTCATCACTACATCTTCATTAAAGGTAAGTTTCACTTATTCATCATTTAGTACTGAATTTATTGTGCATGTATCCTTGTTTTTCTGTGTAGGAAAATGTATATTTCATGTGAAAAAAAAAAAATTATACTTTTGGGTATCTGGAACTGATTAATTGGATTTCAATTACATATTTCTCATACGGAAAATTAATTTGGCTGACAATAAATTCGACTAAGGACACGCTCTCTGGAATGGATTAATATCGTTGGTCGAGGGTCCACTGTACTATTATTATTTATACAATTATTACAATATTGCATGACAGTAAATCTTCTATTTTTTGGTGTGAATGAAAATTCTTTGAGTGAATAAGAATCAAAATGGAATGCACGTGTAAAGCCTGGAAAGGTAACTTATCAACAAAGGAAATGTTATTTAAGTGCCAGGAATGCCTTCATTGTTTATTCTGGAAACTAATTTGAAATTGGAATAGTATTTTGAACAGTGTGAAATTGGCCAAATTACCAATTTCTGATCACTTTGTGTAGTTGAAATAGTCGATTGTGCTCAATCATAAAACAGAAGGCATACTAGCAAACTAGCTATGAATGTGGTCAACTGGAATACTGTAACTGGCCTAAAATAGGAGTCAAATTGGGCAAAATCGCTAATGCGTAAATATTGCTGAAGCAGCAAAATTTGCAATTGTGTAATTTTATCAATTCTCCATCAAATTTTGTACTCTGTTTTATTACCTTCAGAATTTTTTTTTTTTTTTTCAAAATTCTTGGACCCTGTGGACAAGTTTCACATCAGGGGTCTAGCCCATGAAAGGGTTAAGTACCTTTTGTGTAGTCTTAGATCCCTGATTCTTAATCGCTGATTCCAAATCAGACTGCTAATGCTTGATCCCTAATACACTTGAACCTCTTGTCACAACCATAATTCTTTCAAAAACTCTGGTCGCGACCTGATTTGGTCATGACCCGAACGCAACTTCCCAACTGGATTGTATGCAAATGCAATTAATCCATTTCAGACACCTACAAACTATATGTAAATATTGTTTTTTAAGATTTTAAGCACAAAAATAGTTAATTATACCATAGAATGCAGTGTAATAGTAAACTAAATGTAAAAACCTTGAGTAACACTAAGAAAACCTTGAATAGAGAAAACTAACACTACACTAATATGCTCTAGACCCATACAAACCGTTATCTGTAAATTTTTTTCAAGTTTTAAGCACAGAAAAAAATAATCAAAGTCTGAAAAATCCTTAATTGCACAAAATAGTGCACAGTTTAATAGAGAAAACCTTAAATAACAGAGAAAAACACATTGTAAACAAGCAAGAAAAACAAGCACAAGGAGTTCACAGTGAATGAATGCATGTCTGACCGAGACTGACTACAAGGCGAGGGTCTTTGTTAGGAGTACACAAACAACAGGAAGTGGGGAAAATTGACGTGAGAGTAAAAAAATGTGTAAATTGGAGCTAATGTGTTTGTTTGGCACCTGATTGTGTGTTCATGACCAGATGCAAAAACCTTGCGAATATTCTTTGGTCGTGAACCAATCTGTACATGATCAGAAGTGTTCGTGACCAGAGATTCCACTGTACATTAGTAACACAAAGTATTACTTTAGTAACAAACTACAATTCAGCTTTAAAACAAAGATTACTATGCAAGTGTTAATCAATTTCCGAGCTCTACTTAATTCAGCCAATTATGAAAATAACAATTGGATAAATGTGAAAATGAAAAATAATTGACGAGAGAAAACTAACCTTCAGGAGGTTTTCAGTAAGGTTGAGTTTTAAGGAAAAGTCATCTCTCTCCTGTGTGAGAGCTTCCACCCTGACTTCCTGCTCTCTCTCTCTCTTTGATAATTTTTTCACTTCCTCTGAAAAAATAAAAGGAACCATTAAAAATATATTTTTTTTAACACCATCTCCCACTGAAGTAGGTCAGCCCCAAAAAATAATAAATATATAATTATTTCTACAAGTATATGATAAAACTTACACAGACCTAATTGATATCCATGACATACTATATAGGAAGCCCCTGGTTATGCTCTGCATAACCAGGGGCTTCCATTTCAGGCAACTTTGGTTCATTTTATACCTACAATGCGACTCACACCAGTTGGCTAACACCCAGACACCTATTTGTTGTTAGGCGAACATGGACATCAGGTGTCTTAAGGAAACAACACACCCTATGTTTCCACTCGTACTTGGGATACAAGTTCAGATGTCCCTCCAAAGAGGAAATATCTCTAACCCCTCCTTAAGAGTGAAAGCACTATACTTCCTACCTCCAGGACTCAAGTTTGGCTAACTGGTTTCTCTGAATCCCTTCACAAAATGTTACCTTGTTCATACTCCAACAGCTCATCTGGTCCCATTTATATTTGGCTTGTATGTTTGTGACAACTACATACCATACTTAATGAAAGTTCTAAATGTACTACACATGCAAACTACTCAAATCTTAACCCTTTCAGGGTCATGAGCGCTGCTTGCAAACTTGCTCTCGGGGTCAAGGAATTAAAGAATAAAAAAAGTCCAAGTGTGCACATGCATGCGCACGCGCACGCACATGCGCACACACACACATACACACACACATATACACACACACACACAAGGGTGCTCCAAGACCATGACAGAACAAGAACAGAATAACAGCAGCTGAGGAAGAGGACACAGAAACGAAAGGGTCTAGGAAGAGAGACAAGGACAGAGCCAGCAGAAGACAACCAGAGTAGGGCAAAGCAACAAGTGGAAGCACACACAGAGCCACCCTCAGAACCCCACAGCCTAACACACTACCCCAACACAACCCACAATCCACATTTACAGCCCCCACCCCACATTATGCTGTCGAATCTCACAGCACACTGCCAGCTACCACAGAAACCAGGCTCACGGGAATGATAACAGATGCCTTCTTTCCAATGGAATATCTGATCCTGAGGAAAGACAGAGGGAACAGAGGGGGGTGAAGGAGTGGCACTGCTCATCAAAAACTAATGGGAATTTGAGCTGGAGAGAGGAGACAGAGGAGAAGCAAGAGACTACATAATAGGAACAATTCAGTCTGGAGGTCCCAAGGTGGTAACTGCAGTGATGTATAACTCACCACAGAACAGCACGAGGCCAAGGCAAGAGTATAATGAAAGTAACAGAGCGATGGTTGACACACTGGCTGAAGTGGCCAGAAGGGCTCATGTGAGCAGAGCAAAGATGATGATTGTGGGTGACTCAGTCACATGGAAACTGACTGGAAGAACCTGGAGCCACATGGGGGCCTAGAAACATGGAGGGTGATGATGATGGAGGTGGTACTGGAAAACCTCATGTACCAACACATAAGGAACGCTACCAGAGAGAGAAGAGAGGATGAACCAGCAAAACTGGACCTAGTATTCACCCTGAGTAGTGCAGATATTGAGGACATCACATATGAAAAACTTCTAGGGGCCAGTGACCACGTGGTTCTGAGCTTCGAATACACAATAGCCACAAGTGGGCAGGGAAGCAGGAGGGGCAGGACGAATGAAGCCAAACTACAAGAGGGGACTACACAGGCATGAAGAATTTCATGCACGGGGTTTAACGTGACAGAACTGGCAAGGAAGTCAGTAAATGTGTTGATGGAATATGTGACAACAATATGAAAGGAAGCCGAGGAGACGTTTGTACCCAAGGGTAATAGAAATAATGAGAAAGCCGGGATGAGCCCTAGGTTTACTCAAAGGTGTAGAAAGGCCAAAACCAAGTGTGCTAGAGAATGGAAGAAGTATAGAATGCAAAGGATGCAGGAGACAAGGGAGAGCAGTCGTAGAGCCAGAAATGAATATGCACAGGTAAGAGGGAGGCCCAACGACAACACAAAAACACCATGGTAGTGAAAGCCAAATGTGACCCGAAGATGTTGTACAGCCACATCAGGAGGAAAACAAGTCATGGACCAGGTAATCAGACTGAGGAAGGAAGGAGGGAAGATCACAAGAAACTACCGCGAAGTATGTGAGGAGCTCAACATGAGATTCAAAGAAGTGTTCACAGAGGAGACAGAAAGAACTCCACAAAGATGGAGAGGTGGAGTACACCAAGTGTTGCACACAATACATACAACTGTGGAAGAAATGAAGAGGATTTTAAGCGAGCCAGATACCTCAAAGGTGATGGGGCTGGATAACATCTCTCCATGGGTCCTGAAGGAGGAAGCAGAGGCACTATGTGTACCACAAACAGCAATCTTCAACACATCTCTCAAAACAGGGCGACTACCTGAGGTATGAAAGACAGCAAATGTGGACCAAATTTTTCAAAAAAAAAAAAAAAGACAGGCATGAAGCATTAATTAAACTAGAGACCAGTGTCACTGACATGTATAGCATACATAGTCATGGAGAAGATTATCAGGAGAAGAGTGGTGGAGCACCTAGAGAGGAATGAGCTTATCAACAACAAACAGCATGGTTTCAGGGACGGGAAATCCTGTGTCACAAACCTACTGGAGTTCTATGACAGGGTGACAGCAGTAAGACAAGAGAAGGGTGGGTAGACTGCATCTTCTTGGAGTGCAAGAAGACATTTGACACAGTTCCACACAAGAGATTAGTGCAAAAGCTAGAGGACCAGGGAGAGATAATGGAAGGCACTGCAATGGATCAGGGAATACCTGTCGAGAAGACAACAGCAAGTCATGGTACATGATGAGGTGTCAGAGTGGGCACCTATAACGAGTGAGGTTCCACAGAAGTCAGTCCTAGGACCGGTGCTGTTTCTGGTATATGTGAATGACATGACGGAAGGAACAGACCCGGAAGTGTCCCTGTTTGAAGATGACGTGAAGTTGATGAGAAGAATTCACTCGGACGAGAACCAGACAACTACATGTGGATATGGACAGGCTGCAGGCCTGGTCTAGAAACTGGCTCCTGGAGTTCAACCACACCAAGTGCAAAGTCATGAAGATTGGGGAAGAGCAAGAAGACCGCAGACAGAGTACAGTCTAGGGCACCAGAGACTACAAACTTCACTCAATGAAAAAGATCTTGGGATGAGTACAGCTTTTCCTTACTTAATGATGTCGTCCTATTCCTAAGACCACATTGATGAACAAATCTGTCGCTAAGTGAGGAGCATACAGTGGAACCTCAAATTTTGAACTTAATCCATTCCAGGAGCTAGTTCTATACAGTGGACCCCCGCATAGCGAACGCCTTGCATAGCGAACAATCCGCATAGCGAACGCTTTGTTCGCCAAAATTTTGCCCCGCATAGTGGACAAAAACCCGCTCAGCGACCTTCGTCCGAGACGCGTCCATTGTTTACCAGCCAGCCTCCGCGGTAACATTCAAGCATACACTCGGAATATTTCGTATTATTACAGTGTTTTCGGTGCTGTTTCTGGAAAATAAGTGACCATGGGCCCCAAGAAAGCTTCTAGTGCCAACCCTGTGGTAAAAAGGGTGAGAATTAGTATGGAAATTAAGAAAGATTTTGAAGGGTTTGGGGCTAACCCTGAGAAGCCTATGCCAGTTGTGGAATCCATTGTGCCTACTTCAAAAATTAAGGAAATGTGTGCACAGTGGGTTGAACTGCAAACCTTTATGGATGAAAATCACCCTGACACAGCTGTTGCAAGCCGTGCTGGTGACTATTTCAATGACAATGTTATGGCCCATTTTAGACAAATCGTAAAGGAACGGGAGGTACAGAGCTCTATGGACAGATTTGTTGTGCGACAGAGGTCCAGTGACTCTGAAGCTGGTCCTAGTGGCATTAAAAGAAGAAGGGAAGTAACCCCGGAAAAGGACTTGCTACCTCAAGTCCTAATGGAAGGGGATTCCCCTTCTAAACACTAACACTCTCTCTCCCCTCCTCCCATCCCATCAATCATCACCAGATCTTCAATAAAAGTAAGTGTCATGTAATTGTGCATGCCTTTTTCAGTTTGTGTGTACTAAAATTAACATTTTTTTGTGGTAAAAAAAAAATTTTTTCATACTTTTGGGTGTCTTGCACGGATTAATTTTATTTCCATTATTTCTTATGGGGAAAATTAATTCGCATAGCGAACATTTCGCATAACGACCAGCCCTCTTGCACGGATTAAGTTCGCTATGCGGGGGTCCACTGTATTCGAAAAGTCTGAAATTTGAAGCAATATTTCCCATAAGAAATAATGGAAATACAATTAATCCGCCGTTCCAGAAACCCAAAAATATTCACAAAAAAAATACATTTTATAGAAATTAATTACAGTTTTACATACACACAACAAATGCTATAGTCTTTAATTATGTATAATAATATAAAATAACATTCTTTCTTACCTTTATTGAAGATTGGTGATGGCATCTGGAAGATAGGGAGGAGGAGAGAGGGAGTTGGGGTTATTGTTTGGAAGGAGAATCCCCCTCCATGAGGACTTCCGGTATCAAAGCCCTCTCTGGAGTTGCTTCCCTTCTCTGCATTTTAATGCCACTAGGACCAGCTTGAGAGTCATTGGACCCCAGTCTCACAAAATAACTGTCTACAGTCGTCTGTTTCTGTCTCGCAAAATAACTGTCCACAGACATCTGTTTCTGTCTCACAAATTAACTGTCCACAATCGTCTGTTTGTCTCACAAAGTAACTCCACAGTTGTCTGTTTCTGTCTCACAAAATAACTGTCCACAATCGTCTGTTTCTGTCTCACAAAATAACTGTCCACAGTCCTCTGTACATCCTGGCAAGCTCAACAAGTCTCACTCCAATCTCATACTTCTGTATTATTTCCCTCTTCACATCTATGGTGTTTCTCACTTTCTTTACCACAGGGGTACCGCTAGCAAGTTTCTTTGGGCCCATGGCAGCTTATTTCACAGCTCCACAAGCACTA